ACTCACTACCATTGAGGGACACCGGAATTTAAAAAAGGAATTTAACAAAGTATTAGACTATTGGGTTATATTGCTGCCTACAGGAGAAATGGACACTGACAACAAAAAAATGTTGGCAAGCGGAAAATCACACCTCCAACCAACATGCCCCAGTTTTTGCTGGTGTTAGGAGAGTGGACCTGTTTTTTCCAGCACTGCTGTTCTCTCTTCATATGGAATATTTTTCTACTATAGCAGCTGGTGGTAGATTAATGCTGGATAAGTTAAATCCTGAAAGTCTCTGCAGTCTGCCAACAAGCACAGGTTTTCCCAGTTGTATATACTGGTTCTTTCTCTTGCCCTGAATTTCATGAAGTTCTTCCAATCTTCTACAGCTATTGGTAAATATAGGTCAGAAATTATTATTATTATTATTATTATAATAATACAGGATTTATATAGCACCAACAGTTTGCACAGCACTTTGCAACATGAGGTCAGACAGTACAGTTACAATACAATTCAGCACACAAGAGGATCCAGAGGGTTGTTAGAGCTTACTATCTAAAATGAAGATCTCGAGCAGCTCTGCAGTTAGCCAAGAAGAGCAGGTTCCCAGTTCATTATTCATACTGGTTTTCTCTGTGTGACAGTCTTGAGGTTGGCAGCGACTACCAGTCTGTGTTCCGGTTCACACAGGATTCTGCTATTTAGGTCAAGCTAGTATGTCTAGGTATTCTTTCTGGAGCTATTGGCCCAGAGTTGAATCAAATTTCCTGTCCCCATCTCTGCAACTGACAATTGCAAGTACCTAGTAGGCTCATGCTGGGTCATGGTTTCCTCTGTTTGGATATATTCCACAGAAACAATTGTAGCTGAATAGCCACCATCAAATGGTGCTAACCACTGAGTTGCTTTTTACAGCTCTAGTACAAGGCCAGAGTCTCTACCAATGGTATCCAAGCTGCTGAGGGTGCTTTGAGATTAACATTGCTCTACTTTTTGACTGTTAGTGAATCTAATCCTGCTATAAAGGAAGTTTAGGATGGCGTCTGTGGCTTGGCTAATAGACTCCCATTACTTTTTTTCATCGGTCTTAATTCAAACCCAACTTACAAATGCTTTGATTCTATTGTAGCTTGTGTTTGTCAGACACAATATTTTTGAACAACCACCACATATTACAATACAGCTTTTTCAGGTTTAGAGAGCAAAGGATCCATGCCACATTGAGTTCTTCTGTCTCTCCATCCAGTTCACCAAAAAGAAATTTCTCTCCATTGTTTGGATGTAGTTTGGGCTGTAAGAATTTTTCTTTCAGGTACTGCTTTTTCCAGAAAGACTGATTCCCTTTTTGGCATCATGGATGGTCCCTGTAAGGGTGCACCAGTTTCTTGTTCCACCATCTTTAGGTGACTTTGGCTGACCATCATCGAAACTTATAGTCCTAAGGATTGGGTGTCACCCAATGTTATGTCACACTCTGCTAGATCTGCAACCTTCCCTAGTCTGTAGGGGCACCACCTGGTCTTCTGTTTTGTAGGTTCTATCAGGCATATATTAAGGCCTCATCTGATGTTAGGTTCAGGCTTTAGGTCATTCAGGTGGCTCTTTGAGCAGCAGGCAGACCCTAGTTTTCTGTTGTTTCTTTTCTTGGTTCTGTTATCCTTTGTTGCTGCGTTTCCCATCCTTCTATTGGACTGCTTTTTGATTTCTTGAAAGTCTAATCATTCCTGTTTCCCTCAATGGACAAGAAATATTTTTTTTCTCATCTTAATTTCTTTTTTTGGAGTCCATTCAGAGACACAGGTTCTTCCCTATGTATTGTCAAGTTTTATTTACTAGTTTGCAACAAAACTGAGGCATTACGATTGTGAGTGGGTATTCCTGTGCAGGCCATATTTTTTTTAGTTTCCAGTGCCCTTATCTTCTGTATATGGCTGTATAACTCAATAGTCTAAGTATTCTAAAATTTCCCGTGTCCCTCAGTAGACTCCAAGAAAAGGATTTCATGCTGAGTACAAAAACCCTATGTTTCCAATCAAAGATGGTTCTTAGAATTGAGGCCCAGCAGTTTTACTATAAACCACAGATGGTACATAGTGAGAGAAAGCATTTCTTGTTTAAAGTGTTTCCATTTCTTTACATTATTGTAATTCAATAATTTGTATACTTATAGTAGTTCACCAAGTTGTAACTGTTATCATTTTTAGTCATGGTTCAAGAAGACTACCACAGTCAAAATCCATATCACAACGCTGTCCATGCTGCAGATGTCACACAAGCTATGCACTGCTATTTGAAAGAGCCAAAGGTATGGCCACTGCATAACTGTTTATTTTATAAATTATTTAACCTACTATAAGTATTTAATTGGATATTTTTCCTTCATTCCTAGGACACTTCAGATCTTTTGTTTTTCCTGTTTACAGTTTTCTTTAGCCTGTTAGTGTGGTTTCCAACTCATGAATGCATGCAAGCCATTTTTCATTTAAAAATAGATTGCGAGAAATCCAGCTTGCTAACAATGGAGCAGCACCGTGTTGAAGAAAAAAATCATCATGCTGAAGTTTGCATGCAGTTTCTATTCAGTACAGTGAAAAGTTGCCTCTGAATTGTGCCTTTCACCATGCTGGGAACTGCTTCAAAACCATTTGTTGGATTTACCTGCAGTTTTAATGCACCATACTGTGAATAGGTCATTGTGAATAGGACATTCTTTCCCAGGAAGAGCACAAAAAGAGAAACATTTGCACTGAGAGATCTCATGGTATCCAGCAAGCTATGCTTATGAGTGGGCTGTTCATTATTAAACTCTTACAACAAAAAAGCTAATTAAATAGAAACTGTATTACATTAAACATAATTTTTATTTTTTACAACACAGATAAAATCAAAATGTCCCAGGCAAAACTTTGTAGTCTATGTCATGATAATGGCAGTAGCTGTATCATGTGCATTAAGAGTCTAATTGTTAAGTGCATTTCGAGGCTTCCAGTGACCTTTGTTTTTTTGGTAGGGGACACTGGGAGTCACCGCAAATATAGCAGGCTAAAGGGTCTTAGAAAACTCTTAAGCTGGCCATAGATGGATAGAATCTCAGCCGGTTCAGCAGAGACTGGCCGAGATTCGATCTATCTATGGGCAGCTTATTGTACCAAAGTCAATCCATCGATCGATATGGGTACAACCAGCATGTTGGATTTTTAGCTTGCGTTTATTGTCAGTGGATATAGCCGCTAGCAATAATAATTGCATTCTCCTGGCAGGGACGGCACCTCCTCTCCGCGCAAGGGAGAACTGTTTTCATGGGGGAATCAAGCAATTTTCTTTCCTGCAACCACAGGTGCAAGAAAATCGCATAATATATGGCCTGCCTTACTTGTATCAGGGGCATCAGCTGCTTCTTTAGAATGAAGTAATGGGAAAACTACCTAGCCTACTTACAATTAAGAAAACCTTGTCTCTTTTAGTATGTGAAACTTTTTTTGTTTGGGATGGTTAGAAACAGGGTTGCTACTTGGATTGTAAAAGGCCTGGGGCACCTTATGCAAATTATTGGCGCTGCTGCAATCACTGTGTGTGGCCAAATTTCACTAAGAGTGTGACGAGCTTAAAGGGGCATGCTTAAATAGAGAGCACACATATACCACAGTCCCTGTACCCAAAAGGTATGTAAAATCCTGAGCACAATCATTTTTAAAAAATTAGCCTCTTCCACTACATATTTGTTGCACACTGAAAATAGACAGAGAACTGAGCCTGTCTTAAAGAAGAACTTCAATAAAGTAGTCATGGACTGTTTGGTGACTAGCAACTGTTGAGACAGTGAACACTGGTCAGGAGTATGTAATGTACAATATAGCATAATGATTGCATTGGTCAGGAGTATGTAATGTACAACATATTGTATATAGCATAGGAGTCCATAATGCACAGATGTCAGGGGTCAGGGGTGTGTAACGCACATAGTTCTGGGGTCAAGGACACATAACACAAAGCCTGCATAGGGCTCAGAAGTGTTTAATGCACAGTATGCAAGGGGTCATAAATTTATAAAGCACAGAGTTCAGACATCATGTCTAAACTCTCCCTTCTAACACAAATCTGTGGACTTCTAAGCCCCCCAAAGCCTCCAAAGACAAATGTATGCCCCACCCTTAAGACCAAATCCCTCATCCCAGCACAAATCTTTTTTGTGCCCCCAGCATGAATCTCACCTCTAGTACAAATATATCTTCCTATGCCTAATAGTCCCCAGCACAAATCCCCCCTTTCCCTCCATAAAAGTAAAAGACCTCAGATTCAGTGCAATCATTAATGGGACTCTTTCCAGGCTCCCCCTTGGCTTGTCTCAGGTGACACATCAGAGCCAAGGAAGGTCCTAGCAAACCTTCCTTGGCTCTGTATTACTGTCAGACACATGCAAGCTGCTGCAGTGAATGTGTGTTTTTAGTGTCAGGATAAGGGTCACCCAGAAGGAGAAGGGGGCATGTGCCTCAGGTGCTGAGTACTAGCAATATCCATGGTTGGAGCCCCTGTCTCTTTTGTTTTTTTTTGGTATTTGGGTGCCATTGGGGAGTTCTCCCTTCCCTCCCTGGAGACACATCCGGATATGGGAGAAAAATGTCCAAAGTGCAAAGTATCCAAGTGAAATCGCCTCTTAAATTGTTTTTACTGTAACAAGAGACTCCATTGGAAGATTTTCCCTCACCTCCTGTTCTGGTGACAACTGTACATTTTTGGATTTTCTATCACTGTCTCTCTGAAAATGGCCATCAGGACAAATAAAGAGGAAGAATCTACTTAGTAGGGACAAAACAGAAATGATACAAATTTTGACGAGAATGTAAACCTTCCACTTGCCATCCAAAGCAAAAAAAATTGGTTTTAGCTACAGTCTATTACCTGTTCTATTGATTGAAACGTATATAGATTTCTTTTTCTCTGCTCTGTATAGAAAAATAAAGATCTGCTTGCTTCTCACAGCTTGCCAGCTATCTCACTCCTCTGGATATATAATGCTTGGTCTGCTAGCAGCAGCAGCACATGATGTGGACCATCCAGGAGTAAATCAGCAATTTTTGATAAAAACAAAACATCATCTTGCCAGTCTGTACCAGGTGAGAGAAACCAATTTATGCACTCAAGAAGTAATTCATAACCATAATCTGCCACTTTTTTCCTACATTTCTACCGCTAGGTTGATTTTTTCATCCTGTGTTATGCTGAAGTTTATAATGTAGCCATTTAGAAAATGCCAAGTAATTTGGCTTGACTAATGTTTGTTTCAGATAATGCCATCTCTATTGTAATCCTTTACTTTTTACCGCCTTTAATTTTTGTTTTACACAATGGATACTGACTAGGACTTTGGCTGCAGGGAGGGGGGGGGCAGGAATTGTGGAAAACATGCTCTCCCTAATCAGTAACAGCCACTACATTGTGTAATGTCACTGTGGAATAGAGAAGAGATGTGTCAGCGTCTTGGCTGTTCTGACTCTTGGGGGCTTGCGCACACAATGGCCATTTACTTTTGCTGATGTTCTTGAGCTGTCAATAGGGGCAATTGCTAGTATATGTTCCAATACATAGAGATAGCCTGTCATATTTAAAATAGAACTGTAGGCAAAACATTTTTTTTACATTTTGGATAGAATAAGGGAGGGTTATAGCCCCTGTCAGTTTTTTTTTTTTTCTTGCCATCCGTGTTCTATTAAGAAGACTTCCCTTCACTTCCTGTCCCATAGCCAAAGCAGGAAGTGAGAGAAAATCCCTGCAAATTAGGGCAATCCCTTGGGGACTTCCAGGTCTCCAGAACTAGTGTCCCCATTTTAAGATTTCCCCTCTGTGGGATTTTCTTTTACTTTTACTTTCACTTTCAATGATAATGGTAAACAGAACAGGAGTTGTAACCCCTCTCCACTGTATCCAGAACTAAATACAAAAAAGTTTGCCTTACTTTAAGGAAAACTGGGTATGAATTAAAAAGCTGTCTGGCTTGTCATGCTGACCCCTCTTTCCAGTATTTTGAATCACTGACCATGAACTAGTCTTTAGAAATCGCAGTCTGACTTTTTAAACTTTTTTTCTGACTGCTGATTTGCATTCTTGTTGTGGGTCAGTGACTCGGAGGGATCTACGTATAAAAAGTTCACTGAATGAATGTGACACACATCCACTCAGCAAACTTGTTGCATTCCATGCTATATAACTATCTCATATGACTGTAGGCATCATTTAAAGGCCATATTTTTCCTGACTGAGGTATTTTAAAACAAATACTGCATTATGCCCACTAGATGGTGCTTATAGACATACAAGCTAGTTATATAACACAGAATACAGAAGTTTCTTTGGAGTGGAGTGGATGTGTATCATATTCTCATATTCATTCAACAAACTTTTTATACATAGACCCAAAAATGTATTAAGGCTTCATGCACACTAGTGTTTTTTTAAGCTCCTAGAAGATGTTATTAACATTTTTTTTCTGCACCTAGAAGCTAAATAGTGCTATCCTATTGAGTTGATTTACTAAAGGCAAACAGACTGTGCACTCTGCAAGTGCAGTGGCTCCAGAACTTAGTAAATGAGGTAAAGCTCCTCTTTGCAAAGAATACCCAATCATGTGCAAGGAAAATAAACAAAAACAGCATTTTTGCTTGCACATGATTGGATGATGGAAGTCAGCAGAGCTTCTGCTCATTTACTAAGCACTGGAGCAACTGCACTTTGCAAAGTGCACAGTCTATTTATCTTTAGTAAGGGGCGACACAGTGGCTAAAAGGGTAGCACTTCCACGTGGCAGCACTAGGATCATTGGTTCAAATCCCAACCATGGCACCACCTGCCTAGAGTTTGCATGTTCTCCCTGTGCCTGCGTGGGTTTCCTCCCACAATCCAAAGACACACTGGTAGGTTAATTGGATCCTGTCTAAAATGGCTCTAGTATGTGTATGTATGAATGTAAGTTAGTGACCTTAGATTGTATACCCCTTAAGGGTTAGGGACTGATGTGAATGTACAATATATGTGTAAAGTGCTGTGTAAATTGACGGCGCTATATAAGTACCTGAAATAAATAAATAAACCTCTACAGTATGTGTTCACGCACATTACTTTAGGCTATTAGTGTTTTTTGAGCTTCAGTATCTAGAAGCAGGAAAAAAAAAATTTTGTTACGTTTTTTGAAGAGCTTTTCCAGTGGAAAAAAACGCTACTAAAATGCTCCTAACAGCTTTTTTCTACATGTACTGTAAAAACGCTAATAAAACACTAACGCTCCTAAACTCTTCTAAATGCTACTAAAATGCTACTAAAGAACAGGATTACCAGCATTTTTTTCCATCTTTTTTTAGCTTAAAAAAAACCACTAGTGTGAATGGAGCCTTAAGCCATATTACTAGAATTTTCAGAGGAATTTCAGCAACAGAAGCCCTTAGATTGCTCTCGATACAGATTTATATTAAAATACTGCATATGTAAACCTAAAAACAAAAATGTAATATATTGCAGCTTACCAGTCCTTAGATGTGGTGGCTGCATTAGTTTTCTTTTCATGAACAAGAAGATTTTTAACATACCTGTTGATCATGCCAGAATTGCATTGTCCTTTTCACTGCCCGTGAGCTAAAAAGACAGTGGGGTTTATTTACTAAAGCTGGAGAGTGCAAAATCAGGCTCACTTCTGCATTGAAACTAATCAGCTTCCAGGTTTTATTCGCAAAGCTTGACTGAACAAGCTGAGGTTAGAGGATGGTTGGTTTCTATACAGAAGTGAGCCAGATTTTGCACTCTCCAGCGTTAGAAAATAAACCCCAGTGTGACCAAGATAGACATAGAGAGATCACACATAAGTGAGTGTAGACAGGAAGGGACAGGAAGTGAAAGAAAAGGAATGCAACCACCAACATCTAAGGACTGCTAAGGAGGGCTAAAATAAATATTTTTGTCTTTTGTTTAAATACGCTTTAAGTCCAGCTTCTAGAAGAGCTGAGAATGGCCGCTCACAGTTTGGTTTTCAATAACACCCCCCCCCCCCACACACACACACACACACACAACAATAAAAAAACCTTCATATTATTAGTTCTAATATTTGCATTCAGTAGCTATTTGCAAAGGTAATTTATAGGTGATTTTAGAAGGTACCTAACATTTGGGTGTTGATTTACTAAAGGTAAATAGGCTGTGCACTCCAAGTGCGCTTGGACGTGTACTGAAAGTACATTTGCTCTAAATCATCCTTTCTCTTCCAGGGTGCCCAGGCACCATGGGGTGCCTTGAGGGTTCCTCAGGGGTGCCTTAGCAAAATTTCTAAAAATTGCCCAAAACTTGTATACCAGTGGGTGGAACAAGCCTGCCTTTTAGTTACACTAAGTCACAGGTTTTTATTGTGCACCTTTAGGACCTTCTAGCCCAGGGGTGTCAAACTGGCAGCCCTCCAGCTGTTGCAAAACTACAAGTCCCATCATGCCTCTGCCTTTGGAAGTCATGCTTGTAACTGTCAATCTTGCAGTGCCTCATGGGACTTGTAGTTTGGCAGCAGCTGGAGGGCCGCCAGTTTGACACCCGTGTATCTGGCCGCTGGCTTCCTGACAACCAATGACATCATCAGCTGATAAGGAGGATGTCAGTTGCCTGCACAGCATCCTAGTTTGATCCTCCCCTGCCCCTCTTCATCAGTGTTTGGGTCTCATTAGCTCAGTGATGGAGAAAAAACTGATGGAGAAGAGAAACAATGGAATACTAGTCAGTACCAGTGTGCAAAAGTGTATTTGCATTGGAAGAATAAATCACCTCTGATGTTGGGTATTCTACATGTGTGGATGTTGCTGAGTTATATATAACTATTAGAATTGTTTTTCACATTTTAAAATGGGGTGCCTCAAGACTGTCCATAATTTTAAAGGGTGCCTCGGGACTGTCCATCATTTTAAAGGGTGCCTTGACTGAAAAAAGGTTGAGAAACACTGCTCTAGATCTGAGGGGAACATGCAAGGAAAATAAAAAACATTTTTGCTTGCACATGATTGGATGAAAGAAATCAGCAGAGCTTTGCCCCATTTCAGAGCTTCTCCTTGGATATAAACCAACTGCACTTGCAGTGCACAGTATATTTACCTTTAGTAAATCAACCCCTTTATGTTTAGTGGCTTTTAACATGGATTTATTGTGTCCATTGTAGAATAACAGTTTCTTCCAGCGTGAAAAAAGGCATATTGTTACACTTTTTTTTCCCTATCGGTGATGCCACAAGTGGGTTGGGCTGATTATTTCACAGCTAGTACAGAAATGCATTGTACAAGGATGCAAGCACATAGACAGGTCAACAAGTATTTGGCACGATGAGGTTTTACAAAGTTAAAGCTGTAAAGGGTGTCCAAAAGGCACCATACATAGGGAAAATTGTAAATTGTAGTTAAATGTAGCTTTATTTACAAAATATGAATTATTATTATTATTATTATTATACAGGATTTATATAGTGCCAACAGTTTGCTTTACAATATAACGGGAGACAATACAGCAACAGTACAGTTCACAACAAGAGGGTTAGGAGGACCCTGCTCCTTGGAGCTTACAATCTTAATTACAACGTTTTACAAAATATTTATATATAAAAAAAAACATTAAAAATCTATACATAATATAAAATATAATATGAGTCGGTTAATTTTTGCCTATGTATGGAGACTTTTGGGACACCCTGTACTTTAAAGTTGGTTTAGAATGGTGTTGGCTTAGTCTGTTGCTCTCATTGTAAATTGAATCTCTTGGTTTCCTTCTTCAGAACACATCTGTTTTAGAGAACCACCACTGGAGGTCCACTGTTGGTATGCTAAGAGAATCAAGGTTATTAGCACATCTGTCAAAGGAAATTACGTAAGTAGTGTGTTACTTCAGAGCACCTATTTTATTGTGTGTTAGAATTGAAAAGTCAGCTCATGCATGCATGGTAAAGAATGACCTCTGCGGGACTTTTTTTCTCAGAGAAGTGCAGGAACTCAACCACGACCCCACTGCACCACTCACCATCAATTTCACCACTCCACTGGTCTGTCACCCACTGCCACTCTGCATGTTGGGTGCTACATCACTCCTTTGCATGCAGGGTACAGAAACACTGACGGAGTTCCAGCGCCCACTCTGCGTGCTGAGCACAGGGTGATTAGAGCATGCCCAGCACACCCTTTGCACCCACATATGCCTTTAAGGCAACCCACATTAAAGTGAAGTAAGGTACAGTAATGCACAGCACAGATCTGACGGGGGCCTCATGGTAAAATATAGAGGGTAGCATCATCAACTCCACCTGACACTACAAGGATCTGCACACCCTGAGTGCGTGTGAATGTTTGCACAGCCTGGACTCTGCACACACCTGTTAACGAATATACCTATAACATCACAGAAGAGGGGAAAGTCTACTGCAATCCTGACAGCTGGGACGTTATATGGGGATCTCTGTATTGTTTATCATTGGACACAACAACTGGAGACAGACCTTTATGAAGTCCCCTCCCATAAGAGAAGATCAGCCAGGGTAACTGTCACACTAACCCTCATCGTGCCCCTCCAGGTAGATGACATGTATATATCTGTGCCTCTGACCTCACCCCCCTCTGCAGAAACCTCCGGACCACCGCTTGATGCCGTACCAACATCCACCATAACCGCAGAGGCCAAATGAGAGAGCGCCACCTGCTACCCCGGACAGAAACTCCAACCAGACATTACAGAAGCACCTCTGAATCTTGTGCCTGACATGCCTCTACTGCCTGATTGGTTTACATCCTGACAGCAGATCTGCCCCCTTTAACCAGCCTGGGTATTAGTTCCAGGGTATTAGGAGTAGAGGAGACTATTGCCCTTTAAGTGCGCTGCAAGAGCTCAGGTCTGAGCACAGAGATTTGATTGTTGCTGTGTGTCCAGGAAGCGGCTATATAAGGGGCCAGCACTGGAGGTGGCAGAATGGAGTTCCGCCAAGTTCCGACAAAAAAAAGCCCTGGACTTCTGTAATCTGTCATCTGTATTATATGGGTGTCTTCAAAGAATTTGCTAATACAAAGCATACAATATATTTTTTCCCATATATATACTTGGCCACAACAATTTTATAGGCAAGAATATTTTCCAGAATTATATCCATTAAAATGTATAACACCATAATGACATTGCCTTCTAGTCATTATATGTAGCTTCAGTCCATTACATTACATTTATATATCTGTGTTGATATTTAGGGAAAAGAAGGGCAGTCAGTATGACACATAGGTTTTCACTGAGTTTTTGTGAACATTCACTTTAGTTATCCAATCACATGAAAAGTGAATTCCTGTTTACTTCTTTCATCTGCATATGAGTTAATATTCAAAGTAAATTGAAATTTCAAATGAATTATTGTGTGGAAATTCTCAACTCTTTATCCCATATATTTCATCTTTGAATGTTCCCTGCAAATGTTCAAGCATTACCTTCTTTCTCCACAAAAGGTATACTAGGCATCTATCTGTAGTGCTAGTTGAGCTCTGTTTCTGATATGAGGTATGCAGCTCAATGCAATGAATTGTAAAATGTTCTCACAGAGAAACCCATTGTCATTTTTGAACTGTGGGGACAAAATCTATACTGATTATTCATATATTCCTGTTCTTGGACACATCACAGATGCTCTAACTCAGTGTTTTCCAAAGTGTGGGATAGGCACTATTGCTATTACCTATCCTCATTGAAAATAGTAGTTAACAGACCTTAGGATGGAAGTATATGGGTCTACATAGCATCAAAACAGAGGCGTCCCTAGGGTTGGTGTCACCCGGTGCGGTAACACGTGGTGTCACCCCTCCAGAGAGGAAGGAGCGGTGCCGGTAAAATGAGTATCCCGTGAAGATATGTATCCCCTGAAGCAACTGCGCATGTGCCGGTTTCAGGCCGAAGAAGCCGATCTCCAACTTTAGCTCAGAGCTGCCACAGTTAACCCCTTACAGGCTGCAAACCGCTGAAGCTGATCCCACAGATCACTATGGCTTGCAAGATCAGTTAACCCCGTGTAGGTTGAACCTATATGGGGTTAACTGATTTTACCCCTACACCGGGGGCAGCTGTCACTATGCCGGGAACCCGGGATCACCCCAATTACTGGCCAAGACCTTCACAGAGCCCAGAAGCTCTGCTGGCATTCTGCTTCTGCACCCCCTGTGATGGTGTCACCCGGTGTAGCCCGCACCCCCCTAGGGACGCCACTGCATCAAAAGGAATCTTTTTATAGACTGTTAATGTAATTGTTCTGTAGAAATTGTTAAAGGAAACCTTTCCAGAGGTTGCCATTGCTGAATTATGAACTGCTAGTTACCTGGCTGTCATGCTGACCCTTATACTTTACTTTGACAATGTGGAAGAAGTTAGTAGATTAGGACTTCTGTTCTTTTCCTCTGGCATTCCTGGTTCTGGATCCAGGTCAGGTCAGAAAATATTTTAGGCAAAGTATTGAAACCATAGGATCATCATAATAGCCATGCAACTAGTGCCTTTAGCAGGAGTTTAGTGATGACAGCCCTCATAATTCTCCTGGAAAAGGTTTTGGGGTTTATTTACTAAAGCTGAAGAGTGCAAAATCAGGCTCACTTCTGTATAGAAACCAATCAGCTTCCAGGTTGTATTGCCAAAGCTTATTTGAACAAGCTGAGATTAAAAGCTGATTGGTTTCTATGCAGAAGTGAGCCAGATTTTGCACTTTCTAGCTTTAGTAAATAAACCCCTTTGTTTCAGATGACAAAAAGCTACTTTTTTCATTTTTCAAAAAAACAAAAGAGCGATGATGGAATCTGTTGATGAACAAGGAAAAAACCACAGTATTTTGCAGAGCTTCTCTAACTATTTGATGTTCTTATTTCAGGCAGGATATTGAGCAGCAACTGGGCTCCTTAATATTATCAACAGATATAAATCGCCAGAATGAGTTTCTCAATCGTTTTAGAGCTCATCTTGCCCAAAAAGATCTCAGTTTGACGGATGCAGACCACAGGCACTTTATGTTGCAGGTAATAATAATAGCTGGACCAAGAAAGACATTTAGAAAGTCATTGCTACCTAAAGAGTAGGTCATGCACTAGTTTATATTTCAAGGCTTAAACTTTCATTCAGCCCTTTGTGTATGATACAAAGGTGAGGAGACCTGCTGAGTTATTCTAAGGTACCATAAGCCACTTATTAGAAACATACTGTGGACATATACTGTACTCAACTATAAATTTTGTAAAGGATCTTGTCTTGTTGCATGTCGAGCTATTTGGATTTCAGGGGGTTCTAATAGTAATTAGATCTCAATTAAAAAGTTCAATGTTTTTATAATATATTATGCACTTTGTCTATCAGGCTGGTTGAGCAATTTATAAAAAGTAATCTGTATTTAATTCATACCCGGCCAGATTCACACATACAGTATTAGCCCATGTATGAATAAGAGGCTAAGAACAAGACATAGTGTATGACCAGCATTGTAGTAAAGAAAAAGTATAGTGTAGAGGTATTATTACAGTATAATTGCTTGTGTCATGTTACGAGATGATAACTCTTTCATATTATTCTTATTATATTAGGCAGAGAAACATTAGATTAACAACTAAAGGGAGTTCTGTGTTTTTTATTCTCACTTGTACTTCTGTGTTTAACAGAGATTGAGAACAACCATGGTGCAAACTGCAGAGTATGTATGTAGTATGCACGGTGTATGCAGTCAGCAAATATGGCTGCTATCAGCCAATAATATAATTATACATTCAAATCAAAGTTTTTTTAAGCATTTTTACACATTGACTTTATTTAGATAATCTCCTTTGCACTTATATGTGAACACATTACTGGAAGCCAACATTATGGGTAGCCTCATCAGTCTAAGGTTTGGCTATATGCCCATACAGGCATGATCCAGATGCTCATTGCTGACCAGCTGTCCAGTTTATATGGGGACAACAGAAACTGTTAAACAATATCTGCACACAGATGTGTATGTTCATTATATGATTACATTTTATGTGCTTTCTGTTCAATATCCAAGCAGTTTATTATTCTGTTTCCACTAAAAGAAACCTATATACTGTATAAGCTAAACAGTCAAATAAGTGACACTTACTTGGCCATTCCCATATGGAAGAAAAATATATTTGAAATATATTTTAAAAATATTCTTCCCAAATATATTGACATATATTTGAAGTGCTACAATTGTGGCCATATTCAATATATATATATATATATATATATATATATATATATATATATATAGCATGTTGAAATGCATTTTTATTACAAAATCTATGAAAAATATTTTTAAAAATATATATTTTTTAAATATATACTTTAGATTTTTTTTACATATAAAAAAGTCATTTAACGTACAGTTGTTATGTGCAATTAAACCATGGCAACATCTAATGTTTGTGTAGTATTATGTTCAGCAGACTGTGTTCATCAATTGTTGTGACTTAGATAACGTTCAGAGCACATTTTATGCCCAATTCATGCAAAACTCCACGTAATACCAAGGGGTTCACCTACTTTTTTTTGCAACTGTATATTTGTAAATGCATTGCAAAACTGTAGATTTGTATTTGTAAAGACATACAGTATTTTTGAAATTAATGTTTAAAAATATTTTTCATATATTTTGTAATAAAAATGCGTTTCAACATATATATATATTTCAATATATATATATATATATATATATATATATACATATATTTTTTTTAATTTTTTTTTTTAATTTTGGTTTATTTTTATTTATTTATTGAAATATATTTTGGAATATATTGAATATGGCCAAAATTGTAGCATTTCAAATATATGTCAGTATATTTGGGAAGAATATTTTTAAAATATATTTCAAATATGTGGGTTATTACACTTTATTGGTAACATTATACATTTATTACGTACCTAAGGTAATCTAGCAATTAATACAGTTAACATGAGTTGTACTCTTGTATAGAAAGTATAAGGCCTCATGCACACAGGACAGTTTTCCGTTTCTCCTAGATGTCTTTCCTCCTGCCAGCAGTGTTCTAGCAGAAAAAATACTTGATGCTTTTAAATGCGTGTAATTCATTTAGGCACATTTAGGCAAGTCAAGTGCTTTGGCGTTAATAATTAATTTAATTGGCCAGAATAATAATTTACACGCGTTTACACTTGTCAAGTGTTTTTTCTGCCAAAATGCTGCTGCTCCTGGACATGTTGGCAGTGGGGGGGGTTTTTCTGCCCCTAAACACCCCTGCCTGTAAACTCCTCCAAAAGCAGTTGTGTGCATGGAAACTACAAGGTGCAGAATCTGGTGCAGCTCTGAATAGAAACCAATCAGCTTCCAGGTTTTATTGTCAAAGCTTAATTGAACAAGCTGACGTTAGAAGCTGATTGGCTACCATGCACAGCTGCGCAAGATTCTAAGTGCAGCAGTTTTAGTAAATCTTCCCCATAGACTAACATGCAGGGATGTTTAGAGGCAGAAAAAAAACACCAGATGTACTTAACAGCCACATTAAAAACATCCAGTGTGCTGAGGCCTAAAGGTAGTACCTATTCCCCCTAGTTTCATGAAACAGCTACCATTTACAGGACAGTGTCAAATAAGAGTTATGCTATATAATTCGTATGATTAGGTTGACAAGGCTGAAGTCAGGGCATAAATGGTCCCAATAGCTGCCAAAATCAAACAATTCCACATCATGTCATAATATCATATTAACTGTACAGGTGAATAGCACATCACTTGCCTTTATGCCTATTCCCTGTATGTTTTACAGATTGCTCTGAAGTGTGCTGATATCTGCAATCCTTGCCGTATGTGGGAGCTCAGCAAGCAGTGGAGTGAGAGAGTCTGTGAAGAATTCTACAGACAAGGTCAGATATTGCCAGAAAATAAAGACGGTCCCAATTCACGGGGCTAAGCCAATGGCTTTCAGCTGTTTATTTACACAATGGATAAAATATCCGCCTAGGACAAGGCTAAGGCTCCAAATCAGTTAGCAAATTTAAAGTTAATTAGCCTTAACTTGTATTCATTTCTGTAATGGAGTAGGAATTAGGAAATACAGGCTGCGCATTGCAGACTTGGAGATTTAGTGTACCCATTGCTCTGAGCCTCGGGCTTTCCATATCCTTGAATGCAGTCATCTAAGCTTCCCAACCCCTCCTGCCTCTGTGTACTATCCCTCTGTTTCCTGCTCCTGCCTCCTATCCTGATCAACAGTTCTGCACATTTATTTTACCTACTCACATCCCATAACTATGTTATTCGGAAAACACTTTTAGCATCCACGATATAACATATGATCTTGCACAGTAGCATTTTTATGGGACACATTTTAAAGAGAAAATGCAATGCATATGTATTGTTGCACCAATGAGTATACATGTTTATTATATATATATATATATATATATATATATATATACATACAGTTGTGCTCAAAAGTTTGCATATCCTAGCAGAAATTGTGAAATTTTGGCATTGATATTGATAATATGACTGATCATGCCAAAGAATGCTCTTTTATTGAAGGATGATGATCATATGAAGCCATTTATTATCAAATAGTTGTTTGGCTCCTTTTTAAATCATAATGATAACAGCAATCACCCGAATGGCCATAATCGAACGTTTACATACCCTGGAATGTTTGGCACAACCACACCATCAGAGCAGCCTGTATTTTTTTTGAGGTTGCCTGTGGGTTTTTCTTTGAATCCAAAACAATTCTTCTGTCAGTTATGGCTGCAGTCTTTCTTGGTCTACCTGACCTTGGCTTGGTATCAAGAGATCCCCAAACTTTCCACTTCTTAATATGTGATTTAAAAGTACTGATTGGCATATTCAAAGCTTTGGACATTTGCAATTTAAAAAGCCACAGATGTGGGACATTAACCTCTAATTGGCATTTTAACCCGTGTGTGTCACCTTGTGTGTCTGTACCAAGGCCAAACATTCCAGGGTATGTAAACTTTTGATCATGGCCATTTGGGTGATTTCTGTTATCATAATGATTTAAAAAGGAGCCAAACAACTATTTGATAACAAATGGCTTCATATGATATATACACTATATTGCCAAAAGTATAGGGACACCCCTCAAAATCATTGGATTCAGGTGTTCCAGTCACCTCCATGGCCACTATGTTTCTATGAACAGTGCTAAGCACAGCTGAACAAAGCTCTGTATTGTAGCAGACACATCAATACATACTGGAAAACATTGATAGGCGCTAATAGAAATCTGCAAGATCTTAACCTGGGTCTTGTTAATATGGCTGTAAAAGCAAGATGAATTGCTTTGTTAAGGGGTGGGGAGAGAGGGTTTTCCTGTCTTCTTCCAAACCTTTAGAATTTGGATACATTTAAACATAATAGTCTCAGTTCACAAAGCTAACACACTAGGATAAGGATCCTTATTTTCAACTGAATCCAAAGAGATTTTAAAATTACAGTCAGATGGCTAACATAAAGGTTCTGTTCCATGTGCTGAAGCTTTGTGAATTAAGCCTTATGTAAGTGGCGTTAAGGCCTTTTTCACACAGCCGATTAGGGCTGTACACTGAAAAATCAGTAAGAATCTAAGATGGGGATCACAGGTGTGTGTGCAGTCAGCCGCAGCCAGGAAACCTGTAAAAATCAAACACATAATAAATGCAGTAACTATGCACATGTAACCACACATCTAGCATTTGCCTGCAATTAGAAACAGATGAATGGCCCTGGAAGCAAACTGGATGTGTGTAGGGTTGCTCCTCTCTCCCTAATCACATGTAACTTCTCAGATGTGTGGTTTCATGAGTACAGTCATGGTGCTTGTCTGTCTATCATCGATTTGTACTGGCTTCTTGCCAGTGACTAATTGCATACACCTGTGATTCCTGCTGCAAATTTATCCTGATTCGTGATGCTGTATGGCCTTAATCGGCTGTATGAATGAGGCCTAAAAAGTGTGGAGAGTGGGTTTAATTACTGCAAAAAAACAAGGAAGAAGAAGTAGTATTCCGTTAAATAACTACTGCATTTTATTTTTGCTCCTGCTGCGTATGCTGAAAATTCAGTTTTCTTTTTGTATGTTCCTTTTAGGAGATCTTGAGCGGAAATTTGGTCTTGAAATAAGCCCACTTTGCAGCCAACAAAAAGACTCCATACCTAATATACAAGTTGGTGAGTGTGCTTAGGTACATTTGTTGAAGATTTTGATGTCATAGCATTTCTTTTCCTTTTTATTTAAAGACTGCAGAAAAGGGTTAGTTCACCTTTACCGAAAAAAAAGTGCCTATGCAGATAAGGGGCTCCTGTAGGTAAAAACAAACTCTGCAGCTCTGACTAAAGTTAAAAAAATGCCCTTGCTATAAATTGGACCATCTACATGTTCTGTCTGAAAAAAACCCCAAAGATGGCATCACCCCAACATGCCTTGTTGCCAGGACATTGCTAAGATACTCCCAACCAGGGGCGGACTAACAACTCATGGGGCCCCCGGGCAATAGGGGATCATGGGGCCCCTGTGTCCTTGCCCAAACTAAAAAAAGCCTATGAAAAAGGTACCTGGGGCATCTCATGGGGCCCCTGCTGACACCGGGCCCTCAGGCAGTGCCCGAGTTTCCAAATGGCCAGTCCGCCCCTGCTCCCAACTGTTACTGAGTGAGCTCTTAAGCCCCCGAACATAGAAGGTACACCAATCTCCTCTGTTGTAGCATTGCTGGGTTCAGAGCTATTACAACAAGGGAGATAGAGCACATGTGAGGGGGTTTAAATCGGAGAAAGAGCTCACTACTGTGATGGTGGGGGGTGAGCAGTAACAACTGCTAGTGTCCTAGCAATGTCCTAACAACAAGGCAAGATGGGATGATGCCATCTCTGAGAGTTTCTCAGTCGGGCTTTGGGAGATACATAAGTGGCCTGAACATATAGCAAGGGCATTTTTTTTTTATTTATTTTTTTTTCCAAATTCTATTTTTATTGAAAACAACAGAAAAGCAGAAGACACGTATCATGTATCCATATAAGCATAAACAAAAAATACAGAAGGAAGGTATCAAAAGTGATACAAGCATGTGCAAATTCCAAAATAGTACAGGGGAAAATACAATCCCAAGGCAAAGTAAAGGGCAACACAGTGCACACACAAGTGTCAAAACCCCGCTGTCCGCTGTCATTTAAATGAAAAAAGAGAAAGACAAAGAGATAGGAAAGAGCAATAAGTCAGAAAGCGTAAGGGCATTATTTATCTTTGCTCAAAGCTGCAGTTTATTTGTATCTACAGGCACCCTTTATATGCATAGTCAGTTTTTTATAAAGATGAAATAACCCTTTAATGAGATTTTATTTACTATTTTCTGATAATACATAATACATTCTGATTGGGCATTAATCAGGCTTTTATTAATGTAAATATATTTTATAAAGAGACTTCCGATATAATTTGGTGAAGAAGACAGTGGCAAGATTGACACATGATTAAATGCTGAATACTTCAGTTCTCACAGTCCAGTGAAAGATGTAAATAGTTCTCACAGTCCAGTGAAAGATGTAAATAATTGTCTTCAAAAGGAAAACCTTATTCAACTAAACATTAAACATGAAGTCTAGTAGAGTCACTTCCAAATTTACATAAAAAAATGATATCATCTGTGTTAACGAGATAATGCAAGGTGAAGAGCAGGCGTAAATATGGTATAATGAGTAGTATAATCTTGAGGTCACTTCTGTAAGGTAAAATAAAAAAGAGAGAGTATTCACATGTGTGTATAAAAACATAAATATCATTATATTCATATCATTAAATTTTAGATCATTTTATAAGAAGCAATAATAAACTGCAATAAAGTGGTTGTAAACCCTTATGTAAACTCAGTAAAGTGACGGCCTCAGGTGATACACAGAGATGAAGCAAATCCTCCTACATAAGTTGTATGCAACTCACTGTAGCCGTCTTTCCCCTACATCCATTCAAAGTGCAGAATTTACACAGAATCTCAGCTCTGAAAAGCAGGGGACGGGGAGCTGAAGTTAGATCAGTGAGGGGAGATCTAAGAGCTGATTGGAGGGAAGGGACACACACCCTTCACACAGCACACAGGAACAGAGCTGAGGTTGTCAATCACAGGCTGTGCCCTCCCCTGTCACCATTTTTCTCTTGGAGTCAGGAAAATGTGTCACAAATGATTTATGCTGATAGCAAAGGAATGAGGCAGAAACGACACTGTGGATAGATAAAATAAGCAAAGTGCAGCTCTAAAAGGACAATTTAAGAAGTTCGATCTCCAAAGTTCGATCGAAAATCGATCTAAACACACACATAAATGTTCATAGGATCAAGCAAATGATAAGTGAACACAGCTGAAATCGGATCCGGGAAATGGCAAGAATGCGCACTCACCGACCGCACATAGGGAATGCACGTTTTATTATGTATCCAATCAAACGAGTACCGATATCCCACAGGGAGAGATGTCCTCAAACGATCTGCTGGGCTAATATGGTCTCCTTAGTTTGGAATGGATCACTCACGGCACACGTCCCTTCCAGGTACAGGTATCCCTCCTCTGGGTGATATGTAGCTGTGTCTGCCGACCCCTCAGTGGGGGGTAAAAAATGGAAAAGTACCCATAGTGTAGTATATCCAATATTTATTGATGAAGAAAGGGTTTATAACCCAGGTCAGTAATGTTGCTGGCAGTAAGCCAGAGAACACAGAAATAAAAATAAAAGTATGTTACTGACCCTTTTAAAAACAGCAAGCACCCAGACCTCCTCGTGGTCTGGGTGGTAAAGAGGCGTCACAGGCTGTCAGTTCCTCCTCTGTGGATAGAGACAAGTACACACTATAGAGCGATCTGCTTTGTTCAGATTTCATGTCAGAGGTTTACAACCACTTTAAATAATGAAATGATGATATTTTTATATACAGTACATGGAGCCTAGAAAGCTAACTGGCCTTTTATATAAGTTCTCAACGTTTTTTAGTCTTTTCCTGTCCCACTGGGAGTTATTGGGTGTTCCCGGCCACCTTTGTGTTTAAGCTCCTTCCGCTGCATTCTTCACAATATAAAATAAATTGAAACTGTTCCAGGGAGAGCAGGACTCCCTTATAATGGCCACAGCAGATGTGAAGACCCAGGAACTCAAATTCAGAAATATCAGCAACACTCTTTAAGCAGCATAAGAAACTGTTTTGAGGTCTACTCTCCATTAACCAAAACATATAAAATACCAGTTTTTAAAGGTTCAATTCAGGGAGTCATCAAATGTGGACAAGTTACACATCCCATCTTTAAAATGCATATTTTTGCATCCCAAGCCACATTTGAGAATTCCCAGTGTTCAGCTGTGTTCAAGACTCTTTTTTCCTGAACCCCCAAAATACTCAGGAAGCAAACATACTCATTGGAGACACATTAAGGGTCCATGCACACTGTCTTAAAAAAAATGCTGCTCCTTGAGGAGTTTAGCGTTTTGCCTGTAGAAGCAACTAATGTTATCCTAAGTGTCCATGCACATTAGGCAGCCTAAAGGCATTTTTTTTAAGCTCAGTGCTTAGAGGCAGAGAAAAAAAATCCTTCTGTTTTGTGTTTTTGAGAGTGTTTTTCTGGAAGAAAAAACACTAAACGTTATTAAACACTGCTAAACGTTTCTAAATGATAGTACAAAACCGCTGAAAATTAGCGTTTATTTAAGCTAGTGTGCATGGAGCCTTAAACCGTACATATCCATTAAATTAACCACTTCAATACCGGGCACTTATACCCCCTTCCTGCTCAGGCCAATTTTCAGCTTTCAGCGCTGTCGCACTTTGAATGACAATTGCGCGGTCATGCAATACTGTACCCATATAAAGTTTTTATAATTTTTTCACACAAATAGAGCTTTCTTTTGGTAGTATTTAATCACCACTGAGTTTTTTATTTTTTGCTAAATAAAACAAAAAACACCTGAAACGTTTGGAAAAAACCCGCACTTTTCTTCATTTCTGTTATAAAATTTTGCAACTAAATAACATTTCTTTTATAATTTAGGCCAAAATGTATTCTGCTACATTTCTTTGGTGAAAATAATAATAATAATTGAATTTGTATTTTTTCAAATGTTTCCTTTATTTTCTTATATTTTTTTTTTCTTTTTTCTACTATTTTATTTTTCAGCACACTGTGACCAAAGCAATACAATGTTACCATAGTAACATTGAACTACTCTGGGCAAGTGATCAGGATTTTTTTTTTTAACACATTATGATTGCTAATACCAATGTATTTCATTGATATTTGCAATCATTGTTACTGAATGAAACTGATTTAGCCTTTTGTTGTGATTAGCTGTGATTGGGCAAAACTGATCACATGATACATATGGGCTGTGATTGGCCCTGTCTGTATCATGTGACTGCCTTGACCAGTCACAGCTAACAACATAATTGTATACAATGGATGGCGTGACAGGAAGCCATCCATTGTATACAATTGGCATGTGATCTGCTGTGGTTGGTCACAGCGGTCACATGACACTGGCAACGGGCCGGAGTAATGATATGTCATCGGCTGTGTCCCGTGGACACAGCCGGTGACAGATCGTGCCACTGTGCTGCCCCACGGCCATGTGAGTGGCTCGTTTTGACTGGACGTCATATGACGCCCAGTCACAATGGCAAGTGTCCCACCCAGCCATCTGCTATAGGCCGGGTGGGAAGGTGTTAAAGCATACAGCAGATAACCTTGTTCTAAATATTTATTCCGCTGATCATTCGGAAAGAATATGTATACACCACTGATCTGCATCCACTGTGATCTCCTAGAATCGTTATGTGCAGGGAACTGTAGTTCCAAAAGGTAGGCTTGGTACGCAGCACGGTATGACTAGCAAGAGTTTGTAGTCCTACACTGAGAGTCCTGCTCATACTGCTCGCTGGTTGCAAACACACACACGCTGTATGAAAATGCACCACATCTCTGAATTATCATATCCAAAACCAATCCTGATTTCCCCTAGGATAGGGACTTTAACGGTGTCAAATATAGATATAAAACCATGAGTTAAAATGATGCAATAGGTACTTACTGTAAAGCCAAGAATAAAGCCCAGCAAGTGGGTATCACCGTCATGTAGCCGATACCCACTTCCTGGGCTACGTTGTTGTATTTATGTATCTCTTGTCTTGGCATCCTGAAGTGGATAGCGAAGTGCGTTGAGAATATCAGCCAGCTAATATGTACATATCTGAATGTAGATTCAGAGCTCCATTGGAATGAATGGCATGAATAAACTACATACTTAGTACATTGGTATGGTATGAGGGAATACCTGTATTTAGAGGTGGTTTAGAGGCAGTAAGGATATTTTCCCACAGTCAAAAGGTCATTGTAACTTATTATTACATTGTAAATGGTAAAAAGTCTTGTATATTAAATAAAGCACAAATGTACAGTATTATTCTAACTCACGGTTTCATATATACATTATGTATTTATTTGGCACTTTTAAAGTCCCTACCCTGAAGGAAATAGGGATCATTTTGGATACTGAATGGAATGGCACAAATCACATTGTGAGAAGTTTCATATGAATTTAACCGCACCAAAACAGTTCAAAAATGAATAGACCCTAGAAAGCTACTAAAATGACCTGAAAAGTTACGATAATAGTGTTTTTAATAAGTATGTAGAGTTGTTATCTCAATGTGGTTCAAGAAGAGGCCCAATTTCTATAGAGCTTGTTCTTGCTCCCTGTAACACTATACAAGGGATAGAAAGACCACATACCAATGACGTCACTTCTTTGAATACAAATTTATTTTGCCAGTTCCTTCTCAAGAACTGCCCCTACTAACGCATTTCACCCTCCCGGGCTTACTCCTACGATTAAGCCTGGGAGGGTGAAATGCACTAGAGCAGTTGATTCCTGGGTGGGAACCAGCATTATGTATTGTCAGCTTGAATAAAATTGTGTTGTAGGAGGTGATGTCATTGATGTGCGTCCTTACTGTCATTTGAATGTAGAGTTGTTGATTTAGGCAACACATACCAGTTATTTTAACAGCCTGACTAGCAAAATGGGATTTAGTAAAATTGGTCAGGATCGTAAAAGATGCAGTTGGAAGGCCTTTGTTTCTAGAAAAGGTAGCAGCTATATTGTTAATTAATCCTTAAAAGAAACACCGCAACAAAGGCAGTACATATTATATACTTGCATGATCATGCTATATACTATATTTTTGCAAATAGATTGTAGTGAAAAATGTGTTTGTATGGTCTTTATTATGTAAATAGGGCCCCCCTTGCAGCCTTACTACCAAAATAATAAGTTCTTGTTGGTTTGTGAGTCATGATGTCTCTTGGCATTTATGTGACTCCCAGCAACCCAGAAAATCTAGGATGCGTTTATTCTGCAGATTTCTATATACACAGCACCATCTAGTGGCTAAAGCAGAGTAGCAAAGATATGCCAAGTTTCATCTGTTGGTAAATGATTTAGAGCTGCCTGCAGTGATGTGCAGAGCAGGGAGTCCTCTTGGATTTTTTACATTTCCTTCATCTCGTAGAGTTATTTAAATCCCCGAAACAGTATGTGTTTTTAAAAAAGTGTGTTGTTATTTCTCTAACATTTCAGTGGGTTGTTGTTAAGCAGATAGTGTCCATTTAAAAACTGCTTCCTTGAATTTTCTTTAACAAATCCTAAATTGTTATACATAAAAATTCTACATCACAGACTCCTCTTACTTTTCATTGTCCGCAGGCTTCATAAACTACATTGCAGAGCCATTGTTTGTGGAATGGTCAAGATTTACTGGAGGGACTCCCCTATCTGAAAAAATGCTAAGTCACCTCAAGAAGAACAAGGCCAAATGGAAGTCTCTCTCACACAGGCAATGCAGCAAGAGCAATGACCACCTGGTACCTGTAACCGAAGGCAAAGGAGACCAAAAGATCAGTGAAGATGGAGCCCTCTTGTGATCATCTCTTACCTTTGGCATTGCTGTTCTTTTTCTTGCTGCTTTCAATGCAGAGGGATACATATAATGCTCAGATGGGCTGTTGTTACTTTTGACAGCAGACTTAAGGAAGGTCAGAAGGAAGCAGAGTATAGATATCTAAGTGGCGGTGGAAATCCATTGCTCACAGTTTGGTATCCTGCTATATTAGCCCTTCCAGCATTTCTGTCTTATCTCAGTATGAGCAAGACCAGCAACCCTACTTTTCAATGATGAAATCGACAGATGGAGCAGGAGGACTCAGATATGTGGATATCCCTGAAAAAAAACTTTGAAAGCATTGGGTGTCATTTGCAGAGTTATGTAGCAGAGATGGCACTTTTTACTACTTTTCAGAGCTTATTGCAATTGCTCCCATCTTCTAGTGGACCATCCATCTATTGCAAGAGCAGATACATCACGCTAAACAAGAACCACACAATAACACCAGCATCAACTGGACTCGGAAAAGATCTATCTGAGAAGACAACTTTGTATTGTTGATACCTAAAGGATCACAAACAAGATATTCTTTTATTTTTACATTTTGTACTTAGTAGATAAGAGCAAACGTTTGATTGAAGCACTACCCACACTATACTACAAAACGTGAAGGCATTTGTGAACAATTTTACACCACTTTGGATTGGACAAGTAGCGTGATCTTAAAAAAACAGATTCACAGACACTGTTGGATGGACATGTTTGGCGTTTCACCAGACGTAGCCACTGTATCCTTGCTGTGACAGAGGGTTCATAAATGTATTAGCAACAGATTTATTGTTGCATCTGTACATGTTCTGTAAATATTAAGCTACTGACTCCATGCCAAATTACTGACGCATTGTGGTTCTTATACCCAGATATTGGCACTGTGAACAGAAAACTGTTACTTTTAACTTTAAAAAAATACTATAGCATTTGTAAATATGGTTCATAGACTATTTCTAAAAGAGTGCTCATTTCCAGATAAAGGCCTTAAATTTTAACTTGTCATGTTTGAATTGTATTATCCACATCAATCACTATGCCTTTTGTCAAATCATCACACTTTCTATGACAATAGTCACTATGAAAATGGACAGAGGGTATATCAATTTCTATACTTCACAAGCATTCCTAAAGGAATACGATCTACAGCTCCCAGGATTAAAAGACCTTAAATAACTCCAGCTGATCATCCGTTTACGTCACGAATAAAAATAACCTTTAGTTTTATCTCTTTTTTTAACAATACAATGCAACCTACAAGACAAACAGATATGAGCAACTCTGCAGAATCTGTGTGTCAGGATATACTGCAGGTGCTTTACTGTAACCTGCTAATAGTACAAGTTGGACTTACAACATCTGTTACCCTATAACTCACACCATCATTCTTATGAGATCAACCAAAGCCAGTGTGTTCAGACTATGTCATAACATGTCACATTGAGTCGTTCGTTAGTGGAAAAGTGGTGAAAATCAAGCCACAACAGAGAATAGAAAAAGGTCAACTGTTGAAGGGTATCATTACGATGTGTATTTGGTTTATTATTTCATTATCAATTGCATCATAGGTCCCACAATTGGCAAGCCATACCAATCTTCTATTTTTTAATGACAATGTAAACAAGAGAAAAAACACATTCATTGTATGATTTAGTGTCACATACCATATGTGTTTATTTTATTTTGTGATATGGTTTCTGGTTACTTTTTTGCTTTCAGAGGTAGTAATATAATACTTATGTGCATTAACTTTCTTAGAAGTTACAAATTATATTTCTGTCATTTGTATGTGGCTTATTTGTATGCACTGTTTTGAAGGTAATAATTGGCATATTTTAATAGTTTTCAAATGCTATATTACTGATTTGCTGTCATTCCCCATAAACAGAAAGGAAATGAATCTAAACAGACCTTAAAATTGAAGAACTTAAAGATATTTTTAGTTTTCCTTATCAGTGTAAAAGTTGGCAGAAGACTTCATAACTTTGAATTTAACTGAATTACAGTGTAAAAATTAACCATGATTCCTCTATCAGTGACCTGTAAACCATGTTGACATTAATAGACCAGAGCTATTAGGCTATAAGCAATGGGTACAGAAGTAATTATTGTATTTCAAAAATGCATTTGATAATATTGGACTGTAAAAAGCTTCAAGAATTGTAAAAAATGGCACTTGTTTAAAACTTTTCTTTTTCATTCATTGAGGGACACAGGAATTCTAAGTATTCTTGGCTGTCAGGTTATACTGCCACCTACAGGAAAAATGGACACTGGAAACAAAAAGCATTGACTAGCACAGCATAACCCCACCCACAACTATGCCTTAGTGCAGGGGTCTCCAAACTTTCTAAGTAAAGGACCAGTTTACTGTCCTTCAGACTTTAGGGGGGCCGGACTGTGGCCATTGGAAGTATAAATTGTACTGCCATCAGTGGGAGTAAACAATGCATCTTTGGCATTAGGGAGAGGAATAATGCCCCATCGTTGGTGTCAGCGGTAGAAATAGTGCCCCATTGTTTATGTGAGTAACAGTAATTATGCCCCTTTTTCGGTGTCAGTGGTGGGAATAGTGTCTTGCATCAGTGGGAGAAAAAGTGCTTGAAGGGCTAAATAAAAGCAATCAAATTATCACATCCGGCCCCTGGGCCGCAGTTTGGAGACCACTGCCTTAGTGTTTTCTTCAGCTTACTATTAACAGTTGCTGGAAGATTCATGCTGGATTAATGAAACCTGGAAGTCTCAACCGTCAGTTAATGAGCACTGGTAGATTCATGCCAGATAAGTAAAATTCTGGAAGTCTCTCCAGTCTGTCAATGAAACTACTTCCTCATCTGTTTTGCAGGATTGAGATAGCGGGCATTTCTGTGATCCTCATTGTTCTGGACTGAACCAGTCAGAGTCAGATGTGATACATTGATCTGGTAGTTTCTCCTAGCAGACACTGTGTCAGTACCCACACATCATCAGGAACTTCTGTCCATTGACACCCAAAAAGACCGCCCCCTTTTCACACCATCCTACTTCATGATTGTTGCTCCCATGCCTTAAAGTGATGGGAAGTAAAGAGCAGCATGAGAATGCATGAAGGTAAAAAAAAAACAGACTTTACAACCACTGTAATGACATGGCTTTTGAAGTACTTTTTTTCTACTTTTTTTGTATGACCTGGGGCATCTTTCATTTTGTGCTTTCCTGCGATGCTAACAGCTAGGAAGACTACTTTTTTCATGGTCTCTCATCAGACATGGAAAGCATCATTCACTTGGTGTGAGTCTGAGGGGTTCCACCCTAGGAGTTTCTCCAGGTCGCAAGTCCTCTCCTTCTTGCAGTTCAGTCTGGACCAGTTTATAACTTTCAGTATTTTCAAGTGCCATGTTTTTCTATTGAGTCTATCTTGATTTTAGAAACCATTGGTCTTTCACTCCTAGATTTAGACCTTTGTAGAGGTAGTCTCCCATGAAGCTCCCTCTGTTCATTCCCCTGTGATTCTATTGGATTTGACTCAGAGATCACTGTGTGAACCCTTTCGAGATTTTCTTTTCCCACCTTTCAAGGAGGTGTTTCTTCTAGCCACCACCTTTAGAGGGCAAGTGTCTGAACTTGCAGCCTTGATCTGCAAGGAAAGTTTTCTGGTTTTACATAGAGTCAAGGTAGTGTTCAGGTCCAGGCCTGTTTCCATACCTAAGGTAGTTTTTCATCACAACCAGGACATTGTCTTCCCATCCTTCTGTTCCAGTTCACCAAAAGAGAATTTCCCCCCATTTTTTTGGGTGTGGTTCAGGCTGTGAAAGTCTATCTCTTTTCCACTGCTTATTCAGGAAAACTGATTTCCTTTTTAGTTATCCTGGATGGTCCTCGTAAGTGTACATTGGTTTCTCTTTTCACCATCTCTAAGTGGCTCAGACAGGCCTTAATTCAAGCTTAAGGTCTCAAGGATACCACCCTTTCCTCTCATGACATACTCCACTAGATGTGAATTTGCATCATTCAGCATTATTGCAACCTATTTGAGTTTGCAAGGCTACTACCTGGTCTTCTGTTTTATAATTTCTACTAGGAATATATTCAGGCAGTCCCCATTTTTCTGCTGTTTTTTTCATAGGTTTGTCAACCTTTGTTGCTACGTTGCCCACTACTTTGTTGGGCTGCTTTGGACATCCTGACAGTCTAAAAATGTTAAGAATTCCTGAGTCCATCAATGGACAAGAAAGAAAATATGATTGTTGTACTCACCATAAAATCCTTTTCCTGGAGTCCACTGAGGAACAAAGATCGCTCTTCTCTATTTTTATCTTCATGTTCTCAGTACTACTTATTACAAAACTGAGGTATTTTGCTTGTGGGTTATTACGTGCTGGTCAATGGGTTTTTGTTGCTAATGTCCATTTCTCCTATAGACCACTGTATAACCTGACATTCATGAATTCCTGTATCTCCAAATGGAATTTACAGTGAGTACAAAACGTATATTATTCCAATCATAGGGGAAAAAAAAACAGTGCTGAATGGTAAGTTCAGGAAGAAATGACCTTCTTCAGTGGCTGTTCTGATATTCAGATAATTGTCATTATAAAACAACACATTAATCTTAATGCACATAGCTTCATAATGATCAAACAATTCCAAAGATCAAATATACTTGGTACTGTCATCTACATTTATTTCTGATAGCAAGGCATAAAAAAGATATCTTAAGTTTCTTTGTGTTTCCTCCATCATTGGATGCAGAACAAGATGAAGTGCACTACTTTTTAGATGACTCTCTAAGTGTAATAGTCAATATTAGTAAATTTAAAAATCCTCACTATGCAGAAGGCAGTCTGTTTATGCATAACAGTATAAAGTTCTGAGTAGTATCTGGGACAAACACAAATGTGGGGTCAGAAAGGCTTCATCCCATGCTCATTCTGACATAGATATTCAAGCATGCTTTCATTCACAAAAAGATGGTTTTTGTTTTGTGCAGCATCATCTGTACAAAATTATGAA